TAGCGACCAGGATGCTAGGACTCGGCTAACATCGGCTCACTTCGGCTTCGCTCGGCGCATCACGGCTGGCGGGGGGGGGGGAGGGGCGTCATCCATAGCTCAGCACGTCACAATATAATTACAAATAATAATTTTTAAATGTGTAAGTTATTGATTGAGCTATTAATCCATCTACTTTTGCTATTTCTTCGAGCAATTAAGAATACAGTATTTGGGTGTGATCACATATTTTTGTCAGGAACATAAATTTTTCTTATGAGTAGATTATGGTCAATACCATTCATTCATCAGTAATATTATGTTTCTTGCCAGAAAAATATATATTGCCCAAGAATAAGTGTTGAAGTTTTATTTATTAATACATTTACCTTTAAAATACATTACTTTCACAATACAACAGCAGATAGAGTGAAGCCCCTGTTTAAGGTTTCCTGTGGGATCAGCTGATTTGAGCACTACATTGAGGAATTTCATGAATGGGAATAATTTAAAACTAAGACTATTAACTTTGTTTCATTTAAATTGATCTTTGAATGAGGGAAAACACCAAATCGAGAAATATTAAATGGGGGTTCCATTGTATGTCCAAGTTTGGTGTAGTTTTGGCATCCACACTTGTCCTTCATGTACATGAAACACAGTACTAGCACCAGAAGAGAAAGTTCACCTTCATATTTTGAAACGTTATAGACATTGCTCTTGATGTCTATTTTTCTGCATGGAGAATTGGAAGGAGAAGGCCAATTCCACTGCCACTGATTTATCTCCAAAGAACTTATTCTTGAGATGTGTCCAAGATATTGTAATGCATTTGATCAATGTGTTGCCAGGCATCAGCTCTGTAAACACAGTACATTATGGAACAATAGAGGAAGCTGTGTTTTCTATGTTGTCCATTCCAAACAACAGTAGGAACGGGGTTGTCTGTGATCAGTTGCTAGTTACACAATGGTTCTTACAGTAGAACAGTGATTTTTGTGTGGTCTGTGCCACGGCTATGTGACGAGATTCCAGGAATAACCAAGACATTGCAGGGACACAGTTCTGAGTTCTTGGTGGAAGATAGCTATGGAAAGTTTATCATGTGAAGACCTGGTGTGATTAGAAGACTTTATTCATGTGTAATACTTGGAGTGTGTGATTCAGTGAGACTGTTGTCGTTCCCGTTTTAATTGTGTTACCAGGAGAGGACTAGTAAGTGTGTAACAGTGAATTATAAAGTGTAGAAATAGTGATAGTGCTATAATTACACATAATTACTGGTGATGTGTCGAAGTAGTAAATAAACCTGTTCATCCAGTCCAGAACCCAAACTATTAGTCACTCATACACGTGACAATATGTACAGTAAAAACTGAATAGTTTTGCATACTTGTGATGGATAATTACTATAGTAATTGTTATTGTGTTGGCCATTGTGCTTTCCTGAGTCTGGACTGAATTAGAATATTGCTTCAGTACATGCAGTGGTTCCCATATTGAGTTACACTAAATGACATTCAAACTTGGGCATACTTGCAGCCATACTATGAAGAAAAAACATTTTGTTTTGATATATATAATAACTAATAAATACAGTTCTTGACATCCTTTCTCAGTCACCTTATGCTTGACATTATTCAAAGTCATTGACTTAGAAACATGAACTCCACACTTAATATAGGCATTAGCTTGACATCCAGGCTTGTCTCTTAAATTTCCCTTCAAATTCAACAAGCAATTATTTACTGAACTAAATGACTACAAATGTAGTTCACACCATGGTACTGACTATGTTATACTACACTGTAAGACATTCATAATAATTAATTATGGATAGTCCAGTTGAAAGTCTTTTCCTAAGTAGATCCTTCTTCCCATACTGTCTCAGTAAGAATGGCAACATTATCCAAATTACGACCTGGAAAATATTCGAAAGTCCACATGAAGTTGGTGAATACCACTGTAAGAAATCACAAACAAATCACATTAACCATTGTTTTCACAGATTACAGCGTTTACATTGTGTCAATAAAGTAACAACTATAGTGAAACATAGAAAGTAGACTTGAAGTCAATGACGTATTATGTTTACAAAATATTTTTCATTTTTCTGAAAGAAAGTGTCATTCACACATAGCAGAGAGTATGCAGAACAAAGCCCAGTAGTGCTGTGATGACATAAAGAATCAGAGTGAGAGGAAAACATTTCATAATGTCAACATAAATAAAACAGAGAGTTGATAGATCATTATTAGTGACTATAACATGTGCTTAATGAGCGGTGTATGTGTGTGAATGTATGTAAATGAGAGAGAGAGATTTTGAATCTGTAAGCTGTTACTGTTTGGCAACTTGTTATTCATTATGGCAATGCACTATAACATAAAGCATCAACAATTTTCAGTGAGAAGTGGATACAATTTAGCAATGGTTAGACAGTGTAATAATGTCACACATTGTATTGTACCTATTTTTAAATTTCCAAAAAAAAAACACAATTTTTTATATTTCTTCTATCAAAAATGAAGAATGTTTGAAGATATTGGTTTCACTGAAACACAAGCAGAAAGAATTCCTTGCAGTGGGCCCTCTGTGTGAAAAAAAAGTTTTTGTTTTTCTGAAGCATGTTGGTTTTAAAGGGAATGTGGTTCTTTCCAATGTTTCCTGGAGAATTATAAAACAGAGTGTCATGATGAAGCATTTGCTCATGTTAGTGATGGTCCAATTTGGCAGAAAGGAGAAATGCTACACATTATTCTAAAGATAATACTTTTAATGTTAATGATAAAGGACTTTTACAAAATTGCACAGAAATCACACACAGTTCTTATAATTTTATGCTTCAAAACAAATGCACGTCCTCAACAAACATCATTAACTTCTAACAAAGAAAATAACATCACTCCAAGCTCCTAGCAAAGCACAACAGTTTTATACTTGTTGCTGTTACTTACACATTTCCCCCTCTTGTAAATCCCCCAGTAGTTCAGGACAGGATGAATTGCAGGGATTATGCGGTGTGAGACGGAATGCTGTTGACCCTCTCAGCTGTGCTAACATTATTAGTCCGGAATCTAGTTCCACCTGCGGAACAATAAAGTTAGGGCTTCACTGTCATTAACGTCAAATCATGTCCATTCTCTCAATAGTTCAAGAGCAACAGTGCTACATGCTACAGTATATATATATATAGCCCATAATTATCTTCCCATTGTTGCTAAATATGCATCTGATCTTGCTTTACTTGATTTTTTGTAATTGTTCAAGAATTTTAAGATAAGAGACCCATGACTTGACAACTCTGAGTGATTATGTGCCAAAATGGTGTTCCTTGATGATGGCCTTTTAAGGGTCAAAACATTTTGGTTCATTAATAGAAAGAGTATCAGGTTGTAATCGGATGATAATATTAAATAAACTACAAAATGTATTGCAGTGGAATGAAGATGGGTCTGAAAATATATAATTTGTGTTCTTACAGTGAACTCAGTATCTTATTCCAATTATCCCATAAGATCTACATGTTTTCTGTCACTCAAGACTTCTTATGCTTTCCTGGCCATTGTTTACTAATGGTTCTTTTCCACTCATATAGTGCAGCATCATCATTGTTGAATGTTTTATTGGTGGTGGGGGGGGGTAGTAGCTGTGGTGTTGGTGGTGGTAGTAGCAGCAGCAGCAGCAGCAGCAGTAGTAGTAGTAGTAGTAGTAAAACATCAGCCCCACTGGACAAACTGAAGAAAATATGGTGGATACTATGGATGATCCGAAGCTTTGCCATAAATTCTTGTTCTTAATTTAACGCTGCATTTTTGCAGCGCACATTCCAAAGATTGGGCGCTTTCTGATTAACACAATCACAATGTTTCTCTTCACCCTCGATGATGGATTATGAGTGAATGGTACCTTTAATATACACATAATGAGTATAAATCACTACTGTCTTCAACTTCAGTTTTATCATTGATGGTTTTTTGTTTTTTCTTGTTCAAGAGTTTTCCATTGAAACGTCTGATCTATTCGTTATACTGAGGGACCCAAAGTGACCCATTTCAGGAAACTTGCATCTTCTTGAGTCAATAATAAATAATACGGCAGTTTTAAAACATTTTGATACATGTTTATGTTTCCAGTGAGATCCTTCTCTTTGCTTCCTTATTCATGTTCTGAGTTTCCAACTTCATCTTTTGTTACTGCACACCAAAATTCTTACTCACTCAACATTTGAACCTTCTTGGCTACCCATACTGTTAGTCATAATTCTCATGTCTTTTATTTTGCCACATTAAATTAAGGAAGACTATCGCGGGATCAAATCCCGATGAGGTCATTGGATTTTTTTCATTTGACCTAATCCTTCCAGCCACACTATGGCCCTGGGACCGCCTCAGCCTCTAACAGAAATGAGTACCAGGAATATTCTTTTAATGTTCTTGAGGGTAAAGGGCGGCCGGTACGTAAGGCTGACAAACTTACCGCCATCTATGAGCCAATTTTCTAGAAAATGTCAGACCTCAACATCTCACAACTCTATGGGCCTCCATGGCCTGTTACAGGGATACCTTGACTTTTTACTTTTACATTCCCCTTTATTTAAAAAATAAACAATGAAGGAAAAGAAGGAAATATACCACATATTAATAATGAAAATTAAAATTTTTTTAGGAAAATTATTATTTTACTGGGAATACTTCAGGGTGATCAATAAAAATTGCCTTCAAATAGCCTAAACTAAAATTTCTAAGCGCATTTCCTTTTCTGGCTCCCCCTCCTCCACCTTGTAAACCTGGCTACCACCTTGGAAAAATCCTGGTTGCACATGCTAGCAATAAACGTGTCAACTTAATACCGTTTGACAGGCACAGAATGCTTACTTTCTTGTATACTTTAGTATTGTAGTCAGATGACATGAGGACCCAGTTGAAATGAGCTGGAGACACAGAACTAGACAGAAAATATGGCCGCTGGTAGAACTTCCTCAAGGCCTTCACAGCATATATGTCACAGTTCTGCCTGTAAGCATAAGTTGGTGAGATCTACTTTACCTCTGCAACTCAAACAATAGATAATGTTTTTGTGTTCATTTGTATTTCAAGCTTCAACTAATAGTTTTATAATTCTCAATAGCAAGAAGTGTTTACATACACACACACACACATACATGAGTATAATGTGACATCACAACTCATCAGTGTAACAATGATTGCACATACTATAAACTTTATATTATATAATGAATTTTTATAACTTTGACTCATGCCTTAGCATACAGCTTGTTTATATTGTATCTGGTTTACTGTTATCAGTTGTTGTATTGGATTATTGTCTTATCTCACATAATTTTGTCAATTTTATTAATGAAGTGAACCAGAATTAGAATTTTGATATTTATTGTATCCGATGTAAATTTGTTTATGTATGTCTGCTTTATGCTTTATAATTGTTTGCATGTATGTTTGTTTTGTTTTTTGTTTTTGACATGTTTCAATTAATTATTGTAACTTAAATTTTGATCTTGTGACTCATTCTATATCCTATGGCTTGTATTATGCCTGTATCAGGATCAATTAGAAAGTGAAATAAATGAATGAATGAATGAATGAAACAGAAGAACATTATTTTTCTGTGCTCTCTGTGCAGATAGCAACATCACCCATCAATGGAAGAACTGTTGGAAGCAGTGTTTTCTGTGCAGCCTGCACTGAAGTTATGTAACAAGGGTCAGCTGTTATTATAAGACAGTCAAGTTTACGACTGTTCAAGTGACTAGGCTACCATTGTAGCATGAAATAGGTAAGATAGGCATGCAAAGCCTGGCTGACAAGAGGACTTGTATATAGTGCAAAAGGAATAATTTTCAGTAACATGCTATGCATGCAATACGTACACTTGACAAAAGGCCAATCATATTCATAAGAGACAAACACATCCTCTTGTCAGAGAGGATGTTACATGAGGACTATGACCGCAAGTTGAAAAAAAAATCTCTGGTTGTGAGCTTCAATGGGCTTGGTGCCAAGATGAACTGACTGGCAGTAAAGCACCAGTTGCAAAGTAACTTTGACTTTGACTCTGACTGTAAGACAGTCTTGAGACAGCAGTTAGAAGAGTAGGAGGTTGGTGTGAAACGGCTGCCAGCCTGCAAGTATATGAGCCCGGGAGAAGAGGAATGTCCAATGTTGGTAGACGTTGCTAAGCACAGCAGTGAAGACCATAATTAAGTGATAGTAATTTGCAGACTGTAGTCATGAGTTGTTTGAGAGTTCAATAAATCCAGTTGCCAATCCAAAGCCAATCTGTAGTCACTCCAGCACATAACAATATTTGCTGCAATCTGAACAGTACCCTTATTATTGTAACAAAATTTCTCTAGTAAGAAAGTAAATAAAGAAAGCTTTTGCCCCAGTTATATGTTAAGAATCACTGAACAGTTTAAAATGCTCATATTATTAGAGAAGATGTCATTATATTTATACAAATTGTAAAGCAGCAATTTCAAAACCATGGAAGTAAGGCTGATTCATTGGATTTCGGAGTATTGTATTCGTATTTACTGTAAGTTTAAGACATCCAAAGATGGATATAGAACATGTCATAAAATAATATAGAGCACAGAATACATACATAAATATTACACAACTAGACAGCACAATGAATACAACAATAATAAATATTATCTCTTTAGATATTCATCCACAGTATAACATGTATGAGTATTCAAGAAATGCCTTAATACAACCTTAAACTTCTTAAAATTATTGGATATGTTCTTGATCTCTATGGGCAATTTATTGAATATTTTTATACCCACATAATAAACTCCTTTCTGATAAATGGTTAAATCAGCTTGAGATAAATACAAATCTTGTCTTTGTCTAGTATCAATAGTATGAGAATCAATGCCTGATGGAAAAATAACTTTATTTTGCAAAACAAATACTAACAATGAAAATACATATTGTGATGCTAAGGGGTATTTATTTTGGAAAGTTTCAATCGTTATTGAGATATGGAATAATATTTTGGGGGGCTGAAGGTGATAGTATAAAGGTATTTAAAATGCAGAATAGGGTGTTGCGAATAATTAGTGGACTTGGTAAACAAGAGTCATGCAGGCAAATTTTTAAAGATTATGGCATCCTCACAGTCACATCTTTGTATATCTTAGAGGTGTTATGTTACATAAAAAAGCACAAAGCAGATTTGATCCAAAATATAAATATTCATAGCTATAATACAAGAATAAACAAGGATTTTCATGTTCAATTCTGCAGAACTACATTATATAAAAAGTGTGGTAAATAAGGGGATAGAATTGTATAGTAAGGTGCCAAACAAAATAAAAAACTCGGTGGGTTTTTCAGCTTTAAAAAAAGAATTAAAATCATTTTTATTGAAACATTCTTTTTATACGATAAATGAATTTGTTAGTTTTAATAAAAAAGTGGAGGGTGCAAGTACTTATGTTTGGATGTCATAGCCATTCATGAGCTGTATATAGTAGTTTGTATATTTTTTGGAATGTTGTATTTATATATTGCTTGTGATTGTAACAAATGTTGGTAGTATGCTTGTAAATTTGTAGATTTATTTTGTAAACTTGTATTACTGAATGACATGTCCAAGTGTTACTATGTAGCAAAACGGATGAAATACAATACAATACAATACAATGCAAGTGATAAAATATTTAACTCTTTAAATATATTTCTACACGAAACTCTATTGCCATATCCCAACATTGCTCTGATAGCCTTTTTTTGAAGAAGAAAAATAGTAGAATGATGTGATGAGTTTCCCCAAAAGATGATACCATAGCTCATTAAGGAGTGAAAAAGGGAATAATAGATTACTTTTAAAGCTGAAATAGTCATATGACGTTTCATATTTCTAATTATATAACAAGCCTTACTTAATTTTTTTACAAGTAAATTAGTGTGATTCTTCCATATTAAGGCACTATCAACTACAACTCCCAAGAATATAGTACTGAGGGTACTGTTAATAAACTTATTAAAACGATATATTGTAAAAGTATCTGACATTATTGTCTTAGTTCTAAATTGAATACAGTGTGTCTTGTTAAAGTTTAAAGATAATTTATTATCTCTAAATCATCCATTTAAGATTTCAATTGTTATAAGAATATTCCTGCTAAGATCATTTATATCAGAATTTGAAAATAAGATGCCAGTATCATCAGCAAGAATTACAGGCGTAGAAAATTTATTTAATATTTTAGACAACTCATTTATATATAAGAGAAACAACAAAGGTCCTAATACAGACCCTTGTGACACTCCCTGTCTAACATAAAGCCAATCTGAGGATACTGTATTCACATCATTTTTATGTATTACTGTTCTAATATATCTGTTACTTAAATAAGATTCATAAAGTGCATGATCTTTCCCAGTAATACCATAAAATTTAAGTTTGGACAGCAAGATATCATGATCTACACAGTCCGAAGCTTTCTCCAGATCACCAAAAAACACCTGCCACTAATTGTTTGTTGTTTATAGAATTTAAAATCTCTGTAGTCAATTTGTAAATTCCATTATCTGTTTTCAATCCTTTTTCTAAATCCATGTTGTTCAGTACTTATGATATTATACTTATTAAGATCTTCTAAAGTTCTTGTATATATTATAGTTTCAATTATTTTTGAGAAAGATGTTAAAAGTGATATAGGTCTGGATGCCGTTATTAATGCAAAACCTCCACACAGAGAAATCATGAAATAAGCAATTAATGAATGAGAATTTTCAATTTAAAACACATAATCTTCAACAGCATATATGATAATCAGTTTCATTGTTATGACATACAGAAAAGAAAAAGAGTTAGCTTTGACTATATTTTTGATAAATTTAAAGATATTTAAACTTCTACATGGTTGTGCTTTATATATATATATACTTTCACCAAATTTCATGATGGTGTGAGCAGCACTCCTGCTTCATATTCATGCAGTCCAAGCTTCAAATCTCAGCATGCAGAGTGGCTATACTGAATGAGGTTTCTGTCATTCTCCTCATTCCCTCCAGGCAGACATAGGCTCTTACATTAAATTAGTCCACTTGTTTTGAGGAAGTAAATAATAATTTTAAAGAATTATATTTTTGTTTGGGGTTGGGGAGGGTCCACTGGGAAAGCATCTTTCCATGTAAATTCTTATAACTGCTGGATAACTCAGAACATACCAATGTGAAATGATCAGAAACAAGGTCTTATATTTGGGGTTCTGAAATTTTATTCAATTCCCTATTATTAAACAGATTTTCATAATACTAACTTATGTATTATCAGAATCATTAATATTTTTTTTTTAGTATTGAAATAAACAACTTGCAAGTGAGGAATGAGTGAGACGCAGATGGTTATTCATTTTATAACTGTATATTGCCCTAAAAGTAAGATATTCTTTAGGCACTCACCAATGGACAAACCACTTGTCAACTTTTGGGCTATGAATACGCTTAAGGAATGCATGTAGATCTGAAGACCCGGTTCGTAGATTAGTTGTGAGAATGCATGGCACAGTGTCCATCAATTTCTCATCTTGTAGATATAACTGTCAACAAAGCATTTTTTAATTAATTTAGATCATATAATAACAGTTAACAGTAAAAGGTCCTACTTGCTTCAAGGACCCTAATTTATAGTGTCCTCTATTTCTTCAGGTCTAGAATTACCACATAGAAGAACTTTAATCTCCAAAGAGCTGTAATTAATGAATATGGTATGAAAGTCTTCACGTCAAAAATAAAAACAATTGCATTTACAGGGAAAGAATCTACAAGGACAAAAATTGTTCTTGATAATAAAGTACTTGAACAAGTGAGGGATTTTAGTTATATAGGTGAGATTTGAGACTCTCTTGGGAGTGAGTATGAAGAGTATTATCTTCTAGGATGAGCTGTAGTGTGGTAAAAGTTGACTGATGTTCTTCCAAACTGTCAGACTCAGTGGATGAAAGTGATGAAACTGATGCTGTACTTCAACATTCTCCTTAGAGGTTCCTTAGATGCCTTGCACAGGAGACTGGGATTTGAGGTTCCAGGTTTCAAGTTTCAAGTCTGCTGTATTTCCAAAAAGAACCTAAGCACATGTGGGAGCCTTGATATCTCACAACCCTATGGGCTTCCATAGCCTGTTACAAAGATAGATTTACCTCTTCCCCCCCCCCCAGAGAGGGATTTATTCAAAGGCCTACTGGATGGCTTTCATCTTAATATGATTAGATATTTTTTCTTGTCAGAACATACACAATCATACTGAAAGATTTCTTTCAGGGGCCCAAGTGTTGACTTTTTCCAACTGATAGAGGTCATCTACATGGATAACAGTCAACCTTCATGTTATAAAATTGCTTAGTTGATGCCTTGTGCAGCATGAATCAAACATTCACAATTTGTTCCATAAATATTTTGCGAGGTAGTTTAACCCCATCTGAGTTATGAATACTGTCACATGTTACATAGTAGACACTGGGTTTGGATTTAATGGATGCTTATGACTCATAACTACAAATGATTATAACAGTCTCACTAATTTACACGCTCTACAAATAAATAGAACTACAGCAGATACTAAGACTTCTGTGTGTTATTCAGTAACCACTAGTTGTTACCAGGCAGCAGCTGCTAACAGTGAAGATTCCTTATGACTAACCATGAACTACCACTGCTCAATTACAAGTCATGACCTTCTGATTGGTGCTGCTGCTGGTCCTCATCCTATAGCCTTGGTGCACACTGCATATGAAATGCTGTGTCTTCTATTGCTTTGTCAGTATTTGTAGCCATGAAACCTGTTTACCATGCTGCTGCTGGTCCTCATCCTATAGCCTGGTGCACACTGCATATGAAATGCTGTGTCTTCTATTGCTTTGTCAGTATTTGTAGCCATGAAACCTGTTTACCGTGCTGCTGCCTAGCAGTGACCATTTCTACTCATTCCACCATTCTGGCTTTTAGCCATCGTGTCACAGTATGAAGGTATCAAAGCCATATCAGGCAAAGGAAAGGACAGTTGTTTTGCATACTTCCACATTCTGCAGGACATTTTGCAAGAAGCAGTCATTTTATCAGCGTCACTCATGTGATGTTAAGTTCAATGCAGAGAGACTTAGGCACATTCCATCCTCACATAACTATATCATCATGAAGAACTGGGCTACTATGAAGATGAGCATCACACTAATTAAGAAGTGGAAAGTAATTATCTGTGGACAAATTGTGAACAATTTTCTTTGGCCTATCTTAACAAAATGGAGTGTAGTCTCGATTGTAAGGCTGACACACTGCAGTAGGATTAGAACATTAGTCCCTTGTCATCTGCTATCATAAAGCTTACACACCTTTATCCGCACTCAGAATTACCGTTTTTCTGGGGGGAATGTACCAGCATAAAACATGCTCTGCTTGCATTTGACAGTAACCTCATTTACGGCTAAATTCACCAAAAAATGGTACATTTCAGAAAATAAGGTACATATTCAGAAATCTTCTCCTCTTCAGAAACTCATTACATTCTTGAACCTTTTAGTCTGGAGACTTTTTATTATCTCAAAAATGAAGCACCTTCAGGATCTGCAAACTTTTCAATAGTGATTTTTGGTTTGCAAGCTCTGTCTTTTTCATCTAGAACATATTGTTGATTATAGTAGTTTTTCTCTTCCAATTTGATGTTCATCTGAGAACACTGGCTGATAGTAATCACATGGTATGCAGTTTTCAATCATGTGTATTAAGGCAAACTGATTTGAACCAGGATTGAGGCCAGTGTATAATCATCCTGTCTTTGTTCATTCTAGTGTGCCATGCATTATTTGATGGAATTGATTGTTGTCATTGTCACTGTACTTTAATAGGTCTCATATAAATAAAGAAACAGAAGAATTTTAGATTACACCTTCAGTAGAATCAGATTCTTAAAAAATTCTTGTATTTTATCTGAACATATCTTCTACATTTGTCTTCTTATTATGATAATGGACCTACCAACATTTTAGATACAAGTATATAAATTCATCAGCATGTTCATGTCAATTTTACATAATCACCTAGCAAATACTCGTACATATCATAAAGGATAAAGAGGAAAAACAATTGTGACTAACAGTATAGACTGACCACAAATATTAATTTCTAGGTTGATATATTGATCACTAGTTTGATACAGGTTGAAGTTTTACTATGGAAATGTCATATAACTCTGTAACATTCCACATGATCCCTCTAACTGTCTGTGTAAACCATAGTAATTCTAATTCAGAGAGCTTACCACTATTTCATACTCTTCTAAATTCAATTTATTTATTTCAGTAACTTTTTGGTGCTTGTCAAACATCTATCAATATTTCACACAGTCAAGGTACCACTACATAAAAAGTGAATTATTGAACTAATTCATATACAGAAGAAAGTGATAACATGAAAGATGTGTTTATGCAAATTTTTATACTGGACTGAACTATGGTAATATAATGAGTAATGACAAGGATGTTCAAACATATAGTCTAATAATTTTGGATGGAATTTTTTCAGAGATATTAGTTGTATGTCACAACAATTTTATGAATAAATTTTCTCTCCCACTCCTGATAAGTGTCTCACTATCTGCTCAGATAGTTAATACTTCATGTCAGTTCAAACTCATAACACAACTCCACTTTTTATTTACAGCTTCCTGTATATTATTAACATTTGGAATGAGTCAGTCCTACAGCATTTAAAAATAAAATATTTTGTAATAACTGACCTGGGTTATGTTATCAAACCAGAAGTCATCTGTGTTCATAACAGGCCATGACTCCATTGCGTCTACTACAATGAGTGGGGCATCTCGGTTCAAGTACCCATCAAGAAGTTGCTCATATGCCACACCTCCAAGTCTGTCCACATGTTCCAAAGCTTCACAGGACTGTTTAAAAACATATCATTTGTTATTTATTCATAAATGCATATTGCAAATGGCATAATGGAATTGAAAACACAAATATTTTGAACTTGTGAGCATGGATAAATGGAAATATTTATAATACTATACTGCAACAGGTTTTCTCAATCCAAAATCTTATACACCTGATGATGGCCAGTTAGGTCGAAACATCTAGTGTTGTGTACAAGTGTGAATATTAATACACTGAGAAAGTTGCACAAAGATGGCAGGAGTGAGAACACAAATTGGAAATACAGTCAACTCTCAATTATCCGGGATAATGGTGGGCATGGAAATCATGATTAATCGAAAACCCGGTTACGACAAATGTTATTAAAAGTAGTACTGTAATACTGTACCTTCATAATACTATAGGCCTACCTGTATTTAAATTTACTCAACCTCAATTTTATGTCATCTCATGGCCTATTTAATACTTTTTTACATTATACTGAAGTGTGAATTAGTTGTTTCAATCACAGTGTTCAACAACATCCAACACTTTTTACGAATATTCACACTTAACACTTAAAAAAATTAATATTGTCGTTTCCTTTTTTGCGGCATTTTCCTTTTTACAGATATCCATACGAAGCCTACATAATATTAGCTTGTCACTTAATAAACTGTTGTCTTCACTCTCAAGATAGTCTAGTAAGGATTCCAAATGATTAAGAGCAGCACCATGTGATATTTTCTTACTGGCAGCACTGTTCACCTCTTCCTCATTCTCACTTTCTTCCCGCTCTTCTGGCTGCACCCTCACTGAGCTTATGGTTTCATCACTGCTTAACATTTCGAAGCCCAGCTCACACGAGTTTCTGTTGAATACTTAACACAACACGCTTCCTTTTACACCCTGACATTTCGCTAACGCACTTGAAGATCGATACAAAGAGACCAACTGGGGGGGTGTATCTCTCCTTGAAACTTTCCACAAAGCGTTGCATTCTTTCACCCCTACCCTAGCACACTGTGTTAGCTTAATGGGACCAAAGAATGCAGAGCTCGGTTCACACTAGTGCAAAAATAGTGTTACAACTCACCATGTGAAACAAAAGTGAATGAATATTAAACAACATATAAGCCTCAAAAAAGCCTCAGTAGCCCCGGTTAAGCCGCAAACCGGTTAATCCGCCCCCGGATAATTGAGTGTTGACTGTATTTATGCTTTTGTTAGTAGATCAGTTACATAAATTTTAATAATCAAGGTACATGTTAAAAAAAAAGGAAATAGTGAAAACAGTGATAGAATTAGGAGCAGAAGATTACAGTGGTGTAAGAATGTTACACAGATGACAGAAAACTGTTACCATGTTGGATATGGAAATGCATAGCAAAATGAGAACTGGAGAGACAAGAAGATAATAGATATAGAGTAATGAATGTTTGGCCAAACAACAGTAGAAGAAATCACTCTCCCAGAGTAAGGCAGTGCTGACTGGAAAAGGCAAATAGATACAGATATATTTATGACTCATGTATCATATGTACATACATGCATGCATTAGCACAAGGAAAATCTGCACTTATTTAAGAAACAGCATACTTACATTATTTTATCCTTATTTTAAGAATACTGACTGTCATTAAGAGCCTAAATCTGATAAATGATTATATCACATTATACAGTATAAACTGATTCAAATATGCTTAAAAACTAGTAAGAAATGTGGCTAGAAATCAGATTAGGTAAAGTACATATTTAAATCCATGTAGCAATCAAATTCCTGGAAGAAATCTCTACAAGTTTAGGGTGAGTTAGACTGTTTATACTAGGTAATTATACCCATTATCATTACTCAACACCCATGACATTTATATGTAATAAGAATCACGACTGAGATAATGATTCAAAATATGTTACTATATGTTTATGTTCATGTTCATGTTCATTTATTTCATTTTATATATTGGCTTTGCTTAGTGGGGGTTGGAGTTCAACTGGGTCCACTCGGCATGGCGGCCACTGATTGGCCTATTGTACCTGCCCCGGGTGATTATGATGATGGAGAATTTGGTGGAATAAAGAATGGCAGGGGAAACCGAAGTACTCGGAGGAAACCTGCCCCAGTGCCACTTTGTTCACCACAAATCTCACTTGACCAGACCCAGGATCAAACCTGGGCCACCACGGTGGGAAGCCAGCGACTAACCACTTGAGCTATGTTATGGCTTACTAATAGCACATATCTTGTTAAGGGTATTTTATTTACATTTTTACCTGCTATTGAGACTTGCTATATTTTTCAACTCTAATGAAGCCATCAGACAGAAGCACCTTTGTTAATTCTGAAAGTTAATGGAACCATCTAGAACTGACAGTCTTAGAGATCTAGTTGCTAACCAGAAGATTCAAACATGATAACAGATACCATTTAGAAACTCCCAGTAACTTGTATATAAGGTTTCCACAAAATAAATTTGGAGTTATTAATATGTTTTAAGGATTATAGTAAGCCTACTCATGGTCATATGCTGCTATATACTGCAGCTCTACACTCTACACATTGTGTATGTTCTATTGATAAAATGGATCTTAGAGAGATGAACGAATGTATAAGGGCTAGGCCTTCTCGGCCCTTGCACCGTGACCTACAGTGGTCTAGGTTGGGGTGGTATGACACCAACATTTGTTTGCCCTGAAATCATTCACTTTTAAATTGGTGGCCACTGCCTCATTGAGGCAGATTCAGAAGACTATGTCCAGAAGTACTAAATCTGACAGTCTAAAAGATCATGATTTTGGTGGTGGTGGTGGTGATTTAAAATTTCCTGTTCAGTATATTTACTTTATTTATTTTGAATTGTTTCATTTTGGTCCGTTACACTATCAATCACAAAGTTAATAGAAAGTCCGTCGAGTGTAACAATTTGTATGTCACTTTTTATTATTATTTCTGCCTTACATGTTTCGGTTTGACACAACCATCATCAGAGGCACTTGCTATAAGCGACAGTGTTTCCATAATTATAGCAAGTGCCTCTGATGATGGTTGTGTCAAACTGAAACATGTAAGGCAGAAATAATAATAAAAAGTGACCTACAAATTGTTACACTCGATGGACTTTCTATTAACTTTGTACTTTATTTACTTATGGTCAGTGACTGTCTGCAAACATGATCAAGACCAACAGTTTGGAAATGAAACTAGTATTTAACCCAATTTAATAAAACAAGCTTCTTCAGTAAATGCACCATGATACAAGATATTTTGCTTTAGCACTCAACTGCACTAACATGAGAGCAGCACTCAGTTCTGGTAGTAAGATTTTAACTTTATTTTTCTCTATTTAAAATCAAATACTGTACACATTCCAAAATATAGTTTATATACACTAGTATTCCTTATACAAAATGTGAGGCAAAGTAGTAACATTTCACAGCTTTATGTTTGTGATATTTTCCTGACTTACAACACAGTCCTCTTCTGTAAGTGTATATTCTCCATAGAATGGATTTGATACAAGGCAGGATTCATAAAACATGGATGTCCAGTCCCAGAATGGTAACAGCTGAAACAAACAGAAATTTTGTAACTGTTATATGATGTACAGGAGAGTACAACATTATGAAATAAAGATTTTGAAGAAACATTACACATTGTACTAGTCAAGAATAAAACAGTTCTCTTCACTATCAATTACTGACTTGATAAAGTGATTTTCATAAATATCAACCAGTTCTCAAGTCAGTTATCAGTAAAATGCTGACACAGCTAAAATATTTAATAGTATAGTATAGTATAGTATTTATTGCATTCAAGCAAATCCAATTACAGGCCAACACCACTGGACACAGAACAAGTCAAATATCTTCAACAAATGCTCCAACAATGGAACTAGTCAACATAAAATATACATCAACCTAAAATATACATAACACTATACCATGTTTAATTGTAAATAAAATAAGTTAAAATTGTAATAAAAACACATTACATAATAAATTCATTCAACTTAGTAGCTTATATATCTCAAACCATAAAAGATCACAACATCCATCAACTATAATGAGGTATGTTTGTTACATGGCATACCAGTCAAGTTGGAGATTATATCTTACATGTTCAATACCAAATAAAACCAGTCAAGGTATAAGCTTGCTATATACAATGCAGGTATCAGTGCAATATCCTTGAATGTACAACTGCACATCCAAACAATGCATGCAATATTGAATGAACATAGTAAATTACTACTCATTTATACAACCAAAATATTCATCCAAAGTATAAAAGGATTTTGAATGTAAAAAGGCGTTTAAGGCCACTCTAAATACCTTATTATCATGTACTACTTCCTTTATTTTTAATGGGAGACAATTAAAAAGTTTAATTCCATAGCAATAAGGACCCTTCTGATGAACTGTTAAATTTGTCTGAGGGCAATATAAATCTAAACCGCGCCTTGTATTGAGACCATGAATCTGTGTTGATGTATGGAATAGACCCTTATTATTTACAACAAATATCAATAAAGAAAATATATATTGGGACTGGAGTGGCAAAATCCCCCAATCCCTAAATGCTTGTCTACAGGAATCCCTTGCTCTTAGCCCACTCATAATTCTAATTATTCTTTTTTGAATTCTAAAAATTTGTACACTAAACGAGGTATTGCCCCAGAAGATAATTCCATAGGTTAAAAGTGAATGAAAATAACAATAGTAAATCATTTTTAATGTTTCGGTAGGCATGATGGGTTTAATAACCCTCATTGAATAACACGCCTTACACAACTTAGGTATGAGTTGGGATATATGGGCCTTCCAAGTACACGTGCTTTCAACAATTATACCCAAGAACTTCACCTCGGTACTGTTTGGGATCACATTATTGCAATAATTAACCATAACTCCGGTATTAGGACAAGACTTAGCCGCAAATTGTACATGTTTAGTTTTGCTGAAGTTTAGGGTTAGCAGGTTTGACTTGAACCACTCATTAAGGCAGTCAAAAGAGATATTCACATCCCTATTATATTGTAAGTTATTATTGCTACTAATCACCAAACTAGTGTCATCTGCGAATAAGACTGGTTTAACTGTGCTATTAAAAATTGTAGAAAGATCATTTATATAGAAAAGAAATAGAAGCGGACCAAGTATGGACCCTTGAGGGACTCCATGCCTGACAATATCCCAATCTGATCTAATAGTGTTGCTCATTTCAATATCTGTTATTAGTACTCTCTGATGTCGATCTGATAAGTATGATGCAATTAAATCATAAAATCTACCTTGTATCCCATAATATTGTAGTTTACTCAACAATATTTCGTGATTCACACTATCAAACGCCTTCTTCAAGTCACAAAAAACTCCACCTACAACTTTTTGTTTATTTAATGCTTCTAGTATTTCATTGAGTAACACGTAAGAGGCTTTAGCAGTTGAGGATTGACGTCTAAATCCAAATTGCTCATTGACTATTATATTATGATCATGGATATGCTGATTTAATCTAGACAAAACTATCTTCTCAAATATTTTTGAGAAGGAGGTTAAGAGGGAGATGGGCCTATAATTAGATGGATCATTCTCGCAACCGCCCTTGTAACAAGGCTTAATTTCAGCATATTTTAGCCTATCCGGAAATACGCCAGCAGACAGCATTTTATTACTAATATATGTTAAAGGAGATATAATAAAGGGGCTACTAATTTTTAACACTTCAACTGATATTTCATCATAACCATGCGATCTCTTTGTTGTTAAAGATTTAATAATTTTAAATATCTCAGTTGAGGTTGCAGCTTGATATTTTATGCTGGGAAAGGGATGATCAAAAGCTTGCCGCAAGTAATCTAATGGCTTATTGTTTGTTTCAAGACTTTTGTTTATGTTATTCTCAGCCACAGATATGAAAAAACTATTTAAGAAATCTGCTATATATTGCCTATTTTTAGTAATCCGTCCATCAACTTTTAATTCCTGAACTGAATTCACTTTGGCAAACTTCCCAGTTACTGACTTTGTTATATTCCAGATTGTTCTTATTTTGTTACTGGATTTTGATATCTGTCTACTATAATGCTTCTTTTTTGCTTCTCTTATGACATTTTTTAATATCTTGCAATACTGTCTATAATACCTCTTAAAGGCCTCATCGTTACTACTCCTGTATATCAAATATAGATCTCTTTTATGCTTACAGGAATTACTAATACCAGGAGTAATCCACAAGTTACTATTTGTTCTGGTGCTCAACACTTTCAGGGGAAAACTAGAATAGAATATTCTAAGAAATGAACTGAGAAAAGAATTATACATTAAGTTTATATCGTTGGAGCCAAAAACTGAGACCCAGGTTTCAAGACTCAGTTTATATTCAAAATCCTGTATCATAGCCAATGAATCAAGTGTGAGGTATTTGTTTATTTATCAATTTGCTTAATCCATCAACTTGTTTATCTGCTTATTTGTTTTGCACAGTACTCTGTATATTTATGTATGTATCTATTTTTCTGTAAACTATTTGGAGACAGTGACTAATTTCACAGGTTATACTAAATAGCAACAGTAGAATGAGAAGGTGGAATACATACAGTTAATAGGAATCAGTGATCATTCTTTTCCTGGAATTCACACTGAAAATCATGAAAACTGCGGTCTGGATATCTTGTACCAAGCTATCTGAAGTTTTTAGACACCTACATATGGGCGATACAAAAGGACCAAAAGCACCGTAAGATCGAAGGTCATGGCTTTTTAGGACAACAATTGTTCTCTAAACCATGAATCTAGCTTAAAATCTTAGGATTAAGAAACTGTGAAAATGAATATTGTGTGCTTAGAATCACTAAAATGTAGATTTACTGTTATGCTGTTTTAATAAAAATGGAAAGAAATGTATCTCAGAAAATAGCCTCCTCATAACCAATGAATTAAACCGCTTGTGTTTGCCACTTTTGCATGAATTAAAAAACAAGTTTTGTGGTAATGTGCAGGTCATGTAGCACGAATGGGGGAGATGAGGAATGCATATAGGATATTGGTAGGAAAGCCAGAAGGAAAGAGGCCACTGGGAAGACCAAGGCATAGGTGGGTAGACAATATTAAAATGAATCTTAAGAGAGATAGGATGGGATGTTATGCATTGGATTGATCTGGCTCAGGATAGGGAGCAGTGGATGTCTCTTGTGGACACGGTAATGAACCTTTGGGTTCCATAAAATGCTGGGAAATTCTTGAGTAGCTTCACAATTGGCTTCTCCTCAAGAAGGGCTCAGCTCCATAAATAAGTAAGTAGTAATGTGCAACTGTAAAGGAAGGCCAAGCAATGAATGAAGCACAATATAGGCCACAATTAGCAATAGCAAAAGTTAACTCCGTTCTCCTTGCTTCCTTCTTAATATTGAATACGCATCGCGGACAGCCAACAAGAGGTGGTCTTCAAGCTTGGGGGTTGGCCGTTGGGCATGAAGCTAACAACTCCTCGCTGTAGAAAATAAGTTTGTTATAGAATGTCACAAAGGGCTTCGAACCTGGATGGATTCTGTGGTTAAATGACCTAAGCTATCTGGCTCAGGATAGGGACCAATAGCGAGTTCTTGTGAATACGCTAATGAACCTTCAGATACCATAAAATGCTGGGAAGTTTTTGAATAGCTGCACGACTAGCGGCTTCTCAAAAAGGGCTCAGCTCCATGAAATTAGTTAGTTCCCTACTTCACTCTTATTCTCCCTTAGCCCTTGTTTTCTTCATACTACTTTAGGACGAGGGCACACTAAGGAAACTGGCAACCGCAACTCAACTGCAGTTTCCGGGAATTGTTGTCAGACTGAGTTGAACATGTGGAACAGAATGGAGCAGCGAAAATTGGGGACACGGCAACGCAACTCGCGAAAGACTGAGAAAGTCAACTCCCTGGCAACTGAGCAAGCCAGTCTTCTCACATTTGCGTTGCAGCGTAGTTTCCTATCATCAGATTTTCTAGCGGTTCATTTGCTGCTTTAGGATTACTTGTTGTGCAAAGCTTTTTATTCCCTTCAAGAATATTTTTACAAGAATTAGCTTAATAATAGAACAAAGATACTTAGGTAATTTATTTTAGCTATTGCATGTAATTTATAGTTTAGCTTTTGTTGCCTTATTATACTTATCCACTGTTTTATCATATTTAAAGGACTTATTATGTTATTTTTCTATGGTTTTTTATATTATTAGTCATTTGATGTGATGTTTAATCTCATATATTTTTTTAAAAACTGACTTGTCCAATTGTACATAATGTAACAGTTATGGATGTTAAATCAATCAATCAATCAATCAATCAAAGCTTGATGAAGTTGCTAATTTTGTTTTTGTGTAATTGATTGAGCAGGAGCCTGGTATATATGACAAATGTCATGCAGACTATTCTAGGCAGGATAAAATAGATTTGGCTTGGGAAATAATTACTCATGACCTGAAGGAGTCTGGATCCTGGTTAAGTTCTTTCGAAACAATATACGCATTGAGTTTAAATTGTTATGGAAGAACGGATGCACCCAATGTTTTCTTTTCCTAATTATGTACTTAAGCATCCAGTTGCATTAATATATCATTTATTTCACATATACTTCCGTCTTAAATACAACTTCTTAGCTAGTCACCCTTCCTCCAAACTACACGTTTCGGCTGTATATGGTGTCTTCTATCTTGCTAAAATTGTTGCGCTGTATGTAAAAATTTCATATCGCGTGTGAGCGCGATATTTCCCGATTAAAATAAATTGACCTTAATGAAAATTAATAAACACCCTGATGTTTTCTTTATGGTCGACGTCCACTCTTCTCACGCCTTCTCAACCACCATCATATTATGACAGGGTCAATATTATTATCTGACATTGCAGATGTGCCCGAAATTAAAAATTACAATCACACATTAAGTCGGATGAACACACCCACTTAAGATGATGTGAGCAACTAATCAAACGTAAGTTTCCTCAGTGTGTGCCTACTAATATGAAAACCAGGTGTCTATTTGAAACCGGGGACTTTTTTCGGAAGTTGCGGTTGCGTTGCAGTTGTCAGTTTCTTTGGTGTGCCCTCGTCCTTAATATTCATCTCTAATGCTCCCATCCCCACATACTATTCCTCATTCACCCTCATGCAGAATGTGGAGAGCCTATTGAAATTGCTTAGCCCTGTCTGGCTGTATACATGAAACAAGACAAGAACTGCTCCACTGATTTTCATTGAATCTGACATTTGCAAGTTTTAATAACACGTCAACGTATTCTGATCTAGAGAGGCCATTATTTAAAGACTTTATACTTCTCCTTTAGCCTACATTAGCGTTTTTCGAAAAAAAAAAAACGGAAGTAGGTTTATGAGATCTTACCCTGTCTGTCTGTCTGTCTGTGCCCCCCCCCCAAAAAAAAACACATTGCTAGGCAATGACTCAGTAAACACGTTCCTGCAATGAATACACGTGCAACAGTAGAACTGCTGGATGCGGTATTATCTGGGCGTCCCATAGTGTGTACGTAGTGAAAGGAAAGTAGGCGACTAGCTCTTCACCGAACTTCTTGCTCTATTTGTTACTGCTCGTTTCTGTTGTATACTGAGGTCGTCAGACAGTCTCCGGGAAAATCCTTTGGCTGGTCAAACGAGAGGGACACAGGCTACTCACGCCATATCGAAATGTTCGCCTTCGCGTTCGCATTCGCGGCGTAGTTGACATACCACTAACCTATTCGCAATACAATTCATCTCCAATATCAACCCAATAAATCTTCGAACAGCTATTGTGAAGCGAGGTCACGTTTTGCGTAACACGGGCAGCCAGGCCGTTGAAACCATTAACCGTTTGGGTTTCGAGGTGCCGGAACACCCTGCCTACAGCCCAGATCTCGCCCTTTCCGACTATCATCTCTTTGGACCGCTCAAAGATGCTTTATGGACAAAGCAGTGCGGGAAGCGGTGCATAAACGGTTGCGCGAACAACGGAAACCTTCTTCTTGGAGGGAATACGCGAGCTTGTGGACAGCTGGACCAAGTGCATCGAAAAGGAAGGAGACTATGTAGAAAAATGATGTACTTGTTCAACCCCTACTTTTATGTATGTAAATTGGAAAAACAAGAATGCGGATAATTTTTTACTTTCCTACGTATAATCCCAAACCACTGCTGCTGTACTAAAACTCTCAGTCAACAGAGTTACTTCCTGTTTCGAAGTTCCACGTGAGAATTATACATCAGAATGAGTAGTCGTGTACGATACCCTGTGAAAAACAAGAAGATAAAGGAATCGTTTACACAATGGTAAATAAATTCTGACGGACAAGGTTGGACAAAAACGAAGGAACTGAATCAAAACGCCAAGTGTTCACCGAAGAGAAACTGCATTAAATCAGTGCTACGCTTGAACATTTTCCTCCAAAATCCCTTAGACGCTCTGCAGAGTAGATGGGGACTTAAAGTTTCAAGTGTTCAAGTTTGCTCCATTTTCTAGAAGAATTTCAACACGTGAATGCGAACATTTTACGGTGGTGCAAGAAATGCATTCAAAATAACAGGGACCATTTTCAGCATCTCCTATGGTCTGAGTGATTTTTATAACGTCAGCTAGCGTAGTCGGTATAGCGACTGGCTACTGGCTGGACGGCCAAGGGGTCGGAGTTCAAGTCCCAGTAGAGTCAAGAATTTTCTCTTCTCCACGTCGTCCAGACTGACTTTGGGTCNGGGGGGGGGGATCGTTCCCCTGGGGTAAAGCGACCCGGGCGTGAAGCTGACCACTCACCTGCGACTAGTGCCGAAGTCAAGAAAGTGTGGATCTTTACTTCCCCATACGCTTTCGTGGCGTAGTGCTTAATTAGTTAAACAGAGGGACAACTTTACCTTCTACCTGTAAGCTTGCGTTGTGGGTGCGAACACACGTGGAGAGAAATGATTTACGGCAAGCTCTTCAATAATCTCCATGTAATTATTTAGCTTTCCATTACATCATGGCGGCGTTTTTTTCATTACTTCCTGAAAGCGTAAATGTCTCATAAGTAATTATTTTTTCTGCCAATAACCGTTTCTCCCAATCAGGCCAGTTTAACACGGGTTCTGTGTGACCTCTGCTATTTTGGTGTATGTATGTGTTTTTATCGGGGCATGCAGTAGCGTAGTTGGTTGAGGCACTACTGTACAAACCGGAAGGTCATCGGTTCGATTCCCGATGAGGTCATTGAATTTTTTAATTGGCGTAGTCCTTCCAGCCGCAGTATGGCCCTGGGGTCGACTCGGCCTCTGACAGACATTAGTACGAGGAATCTTCTTGGGGGATAAAGGGCGGCCGGCGCGTAATAGTAATATTGAATTGCTCGAATTCGCGATATGAGTTGTGACGATTTTTGTCTCGCGATTTTCAGTGATATGGCACAGAATGGATCAGGTGCGAGACATTCGACAGACTCATCTTTAAATAGTGTACTTGTTCCTGTATCCTAAGAAACAAAATTTGGTCCTTGTATGAAGATTCGCAGCAGCACATATGACTGGTACACAAATAATAAATTAAAGCTCGATCATTCTTGATGATTGCGAAAAATTGGACGGGCGTGTTAAAAAGTTAAATGTTAAGATAAGACAGCAAAATGCCCCTCCCCCCTGATGTACCCAGCTGCTGTCATCATTATAGTAGGCCGGCATGAATCGCGATGAAATTCACGTGACAGGCTTCTGCATGACTGCAATGCCAAATTTCATCCAGAGTTTTCGAATGACTTTGGGAATGAAGGCGGATAGACAGAAACCCCCAATCTCTCCCGTATAAATTCAGTAAGCTTATACCGTAAAATGCATAAATATCAAATAGCATGGACTATTGCAATTCAAAACGAGATTTCGAAATTAATAAACCATATAGGTCTACTTGCCTTAATCATGAAGAGGCGTCCAAGAGCTGCTAAGTGCATGGAGATGGAACCTAGTTGGGCTGCACAATAACAAAATGCGACAACAGTAAGCACAGCTCCGAAAACTTTGGCCAGCTTCTTCATTAGGCTTTTCCTCAAGGTTGCCACTAAAGGAGCAACAATCATGTCCATTTCGGCTTCTGAGAAGCCTGCTTGCTGGCAGTACTGATAAAACGACATCAATTCCTCGTCCAAAAGTTTCAGCTTTTCTTGATATTCCATATCTTTTTGTTGCTGCTGAACTTTCTTCTGGTTGCCGCGGTTGGTTGACATGACGGTCGATCTCATTGCTCGCGATTCTATGCAGAGTATTTGACAAGGTTATATTTAAAATGCAGTTTTCAGGAAAGCGTAAAGCACCAAACGCGGTATGTCACTCGACCTCGTTTAACTCTGCAGCTAGCACAGATAGCTACTAGGCGCTACTAGGTTCCCTTTCACTTTTGCGCGGTATCCCCACTGCTGTCGTATTGATCTTAAACCGTGGGTGGGAGAATCACAGAAACAGGTATCTGTTCGTGAGCTTCAGCTACCGAAGCCGGATAACATTTGCCATCACATTCTTCTATGTATGTAGGGCTAAGGGCGAGGGCACATCAAGGGAACTGCCAACCGCAACGTCAGTATGACAGGATCTGTATTGTAAGATTTGAGGTTTTCACGGCAGTTACTATGAAGAAGACTTTCTGGGATGTGGCGCCGTGTAGATGTGGTGTTAACCGACGTTTCGGAGGAACGTATCGCCTCCATCTTCAGGGTAGAAGGAAAAATAAAAAAATCTGCAAGCGAAGAGACCGTGAGAACCGGTACAAGCAGACTGGTGTTGGAAATAAACAGCTATGTGAGAGAAGTGAAGGAAGGGGAGGGGGGCAACTCTACATGGGGAAATCAGTAGAGTGGGAGGGGTGAAGGGGCTGGGACAGAAGCAGGGTTTTGTATATGATATTGTGTCGGGGGAGAGAGAGGCAAGCTTAAAGGGAGGGCACTAACCCTTAAGCTAGGGGGATTGCTGTGTTAGTGGGTCATGGCCTGTGTAGCCTTGTGGATCTGGTGTCATGTCCCGGGGGGATTTTTAGGGAACAGATGATAGGCTTCCATGACTTGCTGAGACAAAAACACCCCCTCTCTCTTCATATTTTCGGGATGGAGTTCAATCCCAATGGCTTCCCTAATGATGCGATCCATATATCGGGTCTTGGTGGCGAGGATGGAGGTATTCTGAAGCTGAATGCGATGTCCCAAATCGATGCTGTGTTCAGCTACGGCCGACTTGTCCGGCTGTTCGAGATTCATTAAAGAATATGTAGGATGCTGAACTTCGGGCCTACAGAGATTGCTAGGTTCTAACTCGGTGTAAATTCTTACACGCGGCATAAGCCGCAGGAGCGCTTAAGTAAGTCTGAGTAGAGTAACATCACTTACTATCGTTTCCCTCCTAGTCAAGAACGTCAAGAAGGTCAAGAATGTAGGACATGCGGCGTAATCAATGGTTCGGCTGACTGGTATTTCGTCCATTGGACAATCCGTAGGTGCAACGCGACATCTTTCAGTTGGAGACACTTACTGTGAATCATTCCACTTATCACAAGAGATATCGCCAAGCTGTATGTGAATGCGGACCAATAACAAAAGAGCGGTCCATTTAATTGCTCTAATTGTGCTCTTACCTGCACAACGAGATTTTGTGTCTATCCAAGTGAGCATTGTGCATCGGCGACTACAGTTCACTAGCCCATTTAATTAACTTTAGCGATATGCTACTTCGATGCCAACGAGCTGGAACTGTTTTCTCAAAAATGTGAAGAAGTATGGCGAAAAATATATATTGTATATCCTGCGTAACGTCCTTGTGAACTACAGCAAGTAGACAAATTCCCCGCTTTTTCCTTTGTAATGCAGTTTTTCATTACCGCGTTTACAGAAACTCGCCATAGGCCTCAATCATGAACGAAATGAGTCCCGTCGACACCCGATTTCTGTAAATTCCATTCTGATGTTATTCTTCACTGAATCCATAGGACTTCCATGCGGTATCTTCCTTTCAGGTTTTCAGCCAGAACTTTGCTTAAATTTCTCACAAAAGGTTCGCCGCTTAGCACCGGAGGAGCCGGACCCACCACAATTTAACGACCTGATATATTAAAAGTAGTCTGATGAATTTCTGGTTTGTTTGCATTTAGTATGGCATAAAAGTACTTACTAGATTTATAATCTGTTTACTTATATGCATAAGCGGATTTTTCATAATCAACAAAAAAATAACAACAGGGCGGTGGATAATGTCCAGAAACACAATACAATTGTGTGAATATACCACCGTCACAAACTTTTAGAACTTAACCAAAGAGAAATTGCTAAGGTTGAAAGAAGTTCGTGAGGGGCATCTCCTCACGGGCTCTGGCCATTAAGTCACTTTTCCATAGAAGTTCCATACATTTCGCTATGGCACACGATACACGATAGGTGTCACTTTCTTATCCTTGTATTATGTTGTGTTGTTACTTTACTCTCGTAGAATTTCGTGTGTATTCGTGACACCCCAATTCAACTAACGCTACTGACCCCTGGTTGGAACCATAGATAACGCGTCGGAACCGTCGGAATCGGTCGGAACCGACCGAACGGACCTCAGATTTCTCAGATTAGTACACAATCAGACTTAGGAAGAAGGGTTTTGAGAGCGTGTGATTGTGGGTTAGTCGTTACTTGAAATGGGTAACAATCATAGTCAGGATGGATTAAGAAGAAATTCACTTAGTAGGACTCCTTCTGGAGCTGAGAACAACGACAGAAGCCCCACCCAGCTCATGCCTATCGATAAATTGTCAAAGGTAAAACGTTGTTCATACATCTGACGATCTGTACAGTCTGACATAGTACGTGTGCATTTACTAAACTAAATGTCTTTGTTTCGCCGTTATGTAAAGGCGTGAATGATATGTGTCATATTCTTGTTACACGCATTGAAATTGATTTTACACCTCTTGAAATGATGAAATATGTTGAGTTATCACAGCACAAATCGGCCGTTGATTACTACGTACCTTCAAGATACATTCAAGAACGTAAAAGAAAAAGGAGAGAAGAGAAAGAAAAAGGTGATCTGTTGGTGGTATTTATTTTACCAGCGTTAGACTCTCTCCAAACCGGATAGGACAGTTATTAGTCGGATAGTAGCAGTGACTAACGAAATATGTTTTCCAAGATTAGCATGGCTGAACCACATGCTTTTCAAATGTCAGCTGCAAGGTTTTGCTGTAAGGTTCAAAGTGCGATGTCCACTGTACGAAAGACGTTGCTCAGCGAAAATGGTGTGTTGTTTACATAGTACGAACTTCGGTGAATATTCGTCAGTACCTTTCGGCGAAAAGTGCGTTATCAGAGTTACTGTTATACCATTTCATTCATTTTGTTTGGGGTTTGTCGTAAAGACTACAACTAGTGTACCCGTATTTTCAGTTTACCACTTAATTCGGTTTGAGTTTTAGTATGCTAGGATTGTTTAATGAAATCATGATATAACGATAGGAAACAGATGTTTTGAAAATGTGGCACAGTTCAGATATTTGGGAACAACGATAACAAATCAAAACCTGATTCACGAAGAAGTTAAGAGGAGATTGAACTCGGGGTAATGCTTGCTACCATTCAGTCCAGAACCTTTTGTCTTCTCGTCTGCTGTCCAAAAACATAAAAATTAGAATATACAAAACTGTAATTTTTCCTGTGGTTCTGTATGGGTGTGAAACTTGGGTCTCTGACTTTAAGGGAGGAACATAGACTGAGTGTGTTTGAGAACAGGGTGTTCAGGAGAATATTTGTACCGAAGAGGGATGAAGTGACAGGAGGTTGGAGAAAACTGCATAATGAGGAGCTTCATACCTTGTACTCTTCTCCAAGTATAATTAGAATGATCAAGACAAGGAGGATGAGGTGGGCAGGGCATGTAGCAGAAATGGGGGAGAGGAGGAATGCGTATAGGATATTGGTGGGGAAGCCAGAAGGAAAGAGACCACATGGAAGACCAAGGTGTAGGTGGGTGGACAATATTAAAATGGATCCTAGAGAGATAGGATTAGTCTGGCTCAGGATAGGGACCAGTTGAGGGCTCTTGTGAACACGGTAATGAGCCTTCGGGTTCCATAAAATGCTGGGAAATTCTTGAGTAGCTTCACAATTGACGACTTCTTAAGAAGGGCTCAGCTCCATAAGTACGAGTAGTTTAATGTTTTGGTTAGGATTTTTAGGAAGGGTTAGTAGGTCAGGTTATTGCTTTATATTACAGTGTTAATAACGTACAGTACTTGAGGTTATGATTTTAGTATCATGCAGAAAAATTCACATATCCATGCCTCACAGTAACATACTTTTATTGTGGTACAGCAATTTACCACAGTATTGAAATTATATGTCAGGTTTTGATTTATAACCTTTGTTTCCTTAGATACTTGCCCAGAAAAGTTTGGAAGAAGATTCTATCCAGGGAATAACTTGTCGTGCCTTCACTGTAAGTTGTAAACCTATGAACATATGTACAACAAAGTACAGTTATTACACATATAGTGTACAATATCATGTAGTAGTAAGAGTTACTTTATTTTTACAGAACATTGTTTTCCCACGTTATTCAGACCTGTCAGAAAGACTGTTTAAGTATTTCCATTCCTGTGCTGGCGTCACTAAACATGAGTGGATTAGTCCACCCGTCTTCAAACAGCAGGCCGAAAAATTCCTAGGCATAATTGTTGACAGTCAACAGATTGAAGTTTATGTCAAGGTAAGGACATTTGAGACTTTTTTAAATTTTACTGGGAATAATATATATCTTAAAATAACATGTTCATAATGTAATTTGCTACATCATTTACTTAAGCAGCTTTCAGGATTCTTGCACTGTGCATAGGAATTTACAGAGTTTTATTAAGGAACATCTCTTCTATGTTACTGTTGGCAGTACTCTTATGTCAGTATTCTAATTACATCAGATTGAAAACATAAGTGCTTCAGATGTTTTCCTAGGCCTCAGAAAATTGTTTTTCAGATAAGATTGCATTTAAAGATAAATAGTACTATGAACAGCCTCTTCTGCTCATCCGTGGCCAGATAAAGATCATAGTTGATGACTAATGTAGTTATCCCTAAAATAGCTTTCTTATTACTTACTTACTTACGCATGGAGCTGAGCCCTTCTGGAGGAACCGCCAATTCTGCAGCTACTCAAGAATTTCCCAGCATTTCATGGAACCCAAAGGTTCATTACCGTGTTCACAAGAGCCCTCCACTGGTCCCTATCCTGAGCCAGATCTATCCAATACATACCATCCCCTCCTATCTCTCTTAAGATTCATTCTAACATTGTCCTCCCACCTACGCCTTGGTCTTCCATGTGGTCTCTTTCCTTCTGGCTTTCCCACCAATATCCTATATGCATTCCTCATCTCCCCCATTCATGCTACATGACCTGCCCACCTCGTCCTCCTTGACTTGATCATTCTAATTATACTTGGAGAAGAGTACAAGTTATGAAGCTCCTCATTAGGCAGGTTTCTCCAACCTCCTGTCACTTCATCTCTCTTCGGTCCAAATATTCTCCTCAGCGCCCTGTTCTCAAACACTCTCAGTCTATGTTCCTCCCTTAATGTCAGAGACCAAGTTTCACACCCATACAGAACCACAGCCAAAATTATAGTTTTGTATATTCTAATTTTTATGTTTTTGGATAACAGACAAGAAGACGAAAGGTTCTGGACTGAATGGTAGCAAGCATTACCCGAGTTCAATTGCCTCTTAATTTCCTCCTGAATCAGGTTTTGATCTGTTATCGTTGTTCCC